CCAATCCCGGCAACATCCTTGTAAATCTTTTCTGCACCCTCTCAAGTTTAACAACACCTTTCCTATAGCAGGGAGTCCAGAATTGAATGCAGTATTCCAAAAGTGACCTAACCAATGTCTTATACAGCCGCAACATGATATCCCAAAGAAACAGAGCTAACATTTCGAGTCCAGCATGACTCTTCTTCAGCGTGAAGAACATTTCCAGTTTGGAAAAAAAGGTCATTTTGGACTCAAAACATTAACTCTGTTTCCTCTCCACTCAGACCTGCTGAGTTTCTCCAGCAATTTCTGTTTTTGTTTCAGATCTTCAGCATCTGCATTTCTTCATTTTTATTAAAGTAGGAAGCAACGTTATTAAAATTGTCCGATGCTTCAGATATGCCCACTCTTTATTTTGACAGAGGTTTCCCTTACCTATCAGTCCCACCCATTGAAAGGCCCTTGACTCTCCTTCCCCCTTTTCCTGCACTTCTGTCCTCACCCCTTCTCCTCCCTCCGAGTATGTGGCAGTTCATTCCTCACTTTCTACCTGCCTCCACGTTCACCTCTGTCATTTCTATCAGCTCCAATGTGATGCCACCACTTACTGCCTCTTTCAGTATTCCAGAGGGACTGTTCTGTCTGTAACACTCTGTTCCACTTCTCCATCACCTCCATCATGCCCACTCTTTCCTGAACAAGTGCAGAGTAAGCAAGGCTCTTTTAGTTCCTCACTTCCCACTTCCCAAGCCTCCAAATATCCCTCGCTAATGAAACAGTGATTCAATTGTTCATTCTAAGCTCCTGTATTCACTGCTCTTGGTGCTGGTCTTGTCTACACTGGGGAGTAAAACACAGACTGGGTGCTCAACTTGCAGGATACCCCTGCTCAGCTTGCAAGTGTGATCCCAGTCACCTCCCTTTTTTTAATTCCCTCTCCCTCTCTGACCTTCCTGTTTGTGCTCTCCAAAGCCTAAAGCAGTTCAATGTGACATCCAGGAACAGCTCCACAAATTTCAATCAGGGACTTTGCAAACATCCAGACATAACATTGATCTCAACATTGTCACCTTGTAACCCGTGCTCCTGATTGTTTTTCATACAGGGTTTGTAAACATAGAACATCGAACAGTACAGCACAGGAACGGGCCGTTCGGCCCACGATATTGTGCTGAAGATGATGCCAAATTAAACTTATCCTTTATGCCTGCCCTCGGTCCATGTCCCTCCATTCCTTTTATATTCATGTGCTTATCTGAAAGTCCCTTAGATGTCCCTATCATTTCTGCCTCCACCACCATCCCTGGCAGTGTACTCCACACTCCTACGACTCTCTGTGGCCCTCGCATCTGCTTTGAACTTTCCCCTCTCACCTTAACTGCATGCCCCTAGTATTAGACATTTCATCTTTGGAAAAAAGATTCTGACTGTCAACCCTATCTATGCATCTCTTAATTTTAGAGGCTTCTATCAAGTCTCCCCTCAGCCTCTGCTGCTCCAGAGAAAACAACATTAGTTTTTCTAGCCTCTCCTTATAGCTCATACCCTCTAATCCAGGCAGCATTCTGGTAAACCTCTTCTGCAACTTCTCCAAAGCTTCCACATTCTTCCTGTAATGTGGTGACTAGAATTGAACGCAATATTCTAAGTGAGGTCTAACTAAAGTCTTATGAAGCTGCAACATGACATCCTGACTCTTGTACTCAGTGCCCCAAACAATAGAAACAAGTATGCCATACACCTTCTTTACAATCCTATCTACTTGCGTGGCCACTTTCAGGGAGCTATGGACTTGAACCTCAAGATTCCTCTGTACATTGATGCTGTTTAGGGCCCTGCCATTAACTCTATACTTTTCCTTAATATTTGATCTCCCAAACTGCAGCACCTCACACTTACACAGATTAAACTCCATCTGCCATTTCTCTGCCCATATCTGCAACTGATCCACATCCTGCTGTATCCTTTGACAACCTTCTACATTATCCACAACTCCACCGATCTTTGTATCTACATTTCATCCAAGTCATTTATATGTATCACAAACAGCTGAAGTCCCAGTATGGATCCCTGAGGAACACACTAGTCATGGACCTCCAACCTGAAAAACACCCTTCCACCATGACCCTCTGCCTTCTGTGGGTAAGCCAATTCTGAATCCAGGTGGCTAAGTCGCCATGGATGCCAGGCATCTTAATCTTCTGGGTAAACCTACCATGAGGCACCCTGTCGAAAGCCTTACTAAAATCCATGTAGACAATGTCCACTGCTCTCCCCTCATCAATTACCTTTGTCAGCTTCTCGAAAAATTCAATCAAGTTAGTAAGACATGACCTGCCCCACACAAAGCCATGCTGACTGTCCCTAATTAGGCCATGCTTTTCCAAATGCGCATAAATCCTAACTGTAAGAATTCTCTCCAATAGCTTCCCAACCATCGATGTGAGGCTGACTGGTCTATAATTTCCTGGATTATCCCTATTTCCCTTCTTGAACAGAAGAACAACATCAGCTACTCACGGGTCCTCTAGGACCTTTTGTGGTTAATGAGGATACAAAGATCTTGGTCATGGTCCCAGCAATTTCCTCTCTTGCCTCTCTCTATAACTTGTTGGTGATGACTCTCTCTTCATTTAGACCTCTTCTAGATACATCTTTTGTTTTGTTACTTGTCTTATTTCCAATTTCTTTTACCTCACATGGTCATCCTTTTTGTTATTTTATTTCTCTTGCCTTTCACCCTCCTGAAGGATCACAGAAGTGTGATGGCACAGAATGAGGCTGTTTAGTCCATTGTGTTTGCACTGCCTCACCAAATAAACATTATTACATGGTTCCAATTTCCTGACATATTCCCCATGTCCCTGCACATTATTTCTATCCAAATAATCATTCAATGACCCTTTTGAATGCCTTAATTGAACATTTTCAGGTGATGCATTCCATACCCTAACTACTCACCATGTGAACACGTTTTTCTTCACATCACTCTTATGTTTTTGTAAATCACTTTAAATCTATGCTGTCTTGTTCTTCTTCCTTTTATAAGTGGAAGCAATTGTCCACTCTGTCCAGCCACTCACGATTTTGAAAATTTCTATCCAATCCTCTCTCAGTCCTCTCCTCTCCAAGGAGAATAGTCCCAACTTCTTCAACCTCTGCCTCATAACAAAACTTTCTAATTCCTGGAACCATTCTTGTAAATCGCTTCTGCACTTTCTGTCTCCAATAAATTTACATCTTCCCTATAATGCGAAGCCCACAAATGTGCACAATACTCCAGCTGAGGTCTTTTTCAAACTCCCAGAGGCTGATGTGATCACAGGCCTGTTGTTCTTGCCTCACAATGAATATTCTTGCCTCTGTACACATGCAAACACATCAGTGTTCTGACAAAAGGTATTGATCTGAAATGTTCTCCACAGGAGTTGTATAACTTGCTGAGTATTTCCAACACTTTCTATTTTTGTTTCAGATTTTTAGTATCTGCGGTATTTTACTTATGTTAACTTGCCTCCATACGGACCTGGCCAATTTTTGTCCCTCTTCCAATACCTTTCATTTCTATTTTGGGAAGCTTGTTGTCCACAAGTTGGTTGCTGTGTCTCCTGTAATAACAGTCTGTCCACTTTCAACCAATCAACACTTTCCTCTCAAACTGTATAAAAAATTGTTCCCCTTTACTTTGGTATTCCTGCAAATAATCTTGATGAAAAGCTTCGACAAAATGCAGCTTTTTCCAGCCAAATTCTACAAAAATCACTAATTTTATATGTTTTAATTTCATCACCGCAAGTCTATTGCACAATCCTTAGTCCAACTTGTATCCCACTGGATTCACCAACCTTTGCTTTATATCCATTGACAAAAAAAGTCCATGGATCTCAGTCTTCATAATTTAAATTGACCATAAGAAATAGGAACAGGAGTAGACTGTTTGGCCCATTAAGCCTGCTTTGCCATTCAACAGGATCATGGCTGATTCGACATTCCTCACATCCAATTTCCTGCCTTTTCCCTGTTACCCCAGATTCCCTGATTGATCAAGAATCTATCTGCCTCAGCCTTCAATATACACAAGGACTCTGCCCCCACAGCTCTTTGTGGCAAACAGTTCCACAACCCTCTGAGAGAAGAAATTCCTCGTCATCCCAGTCTTAAATTGGTACCTCCTTTATTATGAGACTATACCCTCTGATCCTAGACTCTCCCACGAGGGGAAACATCCTCTCAGCTTTTACCCTGTCAAGCCCCTTAAGAATCCTATATGCCTCAATGTGATCACCTCTTATTCTTATAAACTCCAGTGAGTAGAGTCTCAACCTGTTTACCCTTTGCTCCTAAAACAATCCCTCCATACGAGGGATCATCATAGTGAACCTTCTCTGAACTGCCTCCAATAAAATGATAACTTTCCTTAGATGAGGAGACCCAAAACAGCTCACATTATTCCAGATGTGGTCTCCCCATCACCTTGTACAGTTGCAGTCAGACTTCCATACTCTTATACTCCAAACCTCTTGAAATAAGGGCCAACATTCCATTAGCCTTCCTGATTCCCTGCCACACCTGTGTGTTAGCTTTCTGTGTTTCATGCACAAGTCTCTCCAAGTCCCTTTGTGTTATAGCTCTCTCCATTTAAATAATATTCTGTGCTTTTGTTTTTCCTTCCAAAATGAACAATTTCGTATTTTCCCCACATTATACTCGAGTTGTCAAATTTTTGCCCACTTACTTAGCCTTTCAATATCCCTCTGTAAACTGTTTGTATCACTCACACAACCTGCTTTTGTCTAATGTTGTCTCACAGTGTCCACAGCTTTTTGAGTTTGGACGTGGGATTTGTTGTCAGTTTTGACCGTACCCTTTGTGTAATTAAAATCCATCCCAATTACACCTCTAAATGGTTTAAGTCTATCTTTAAGAGTGCACTTCTTTCATTTATGACTGCGCTGCCATAGGAGATCGAGCTAAAAATACACAATACGTGGGCTCCGGCCTAACTTCTTTTTCTCTTTAATTAGAAAAAGGTTTGTCTGTGAAATTACAAACAATGTACTCAGGTGGGGTGCCTTCAAATTACAGTACAGCGTAGAATGCAGTTTTGTTTTTGCATCAGCTTATGACTGTAGGAACTGCACTTGCAGATTGCCAAACATTAACATACTATAGCAATGTAAGAATTATTACAATTTAAAAAAATCATTCTTAAATCATAAAAAAGTTCTGGTGAGTTGCACTATTGAAATCAGCAGCAACAATTCAGAGCTAAACCTTATTTCTTATTGTCTTTGCAGAATTCCTGTTACAGATTGCAGGCTGTAGCTCTTGACATGAGTTCAAATCAACAGACAGATCAGTCATGACCAGGCAAGTCTCTGTAACACTCTCACTCGCTTTCTTTCTCTCTCTCTTTCACTGTCTCTCTCTCTTTCACTGCTATCCTCTTGGAGCTAATGTTCATAGTGCAGGTTGTCTTGTTAATATACAGTTATGCAATTGCCTTCGGAAAGTGCAGGCTCCTGTTCCTTGCACAGAATGCAGCTTTGAATCCTTCTGAATGATCGTTAGAAGTGGTCAGCAGCTTTTTCACTTGTTAATAAGGCATTGATGTACCAATAATAATAAAAAACCCAGATTGTAGAAATTAGTCACATGCAGCTGGTGCTACAGGGAGGTCCCCATCATTTGACAACTACAGAAGCCTTGTTCTTCACTTTTATAAAGTCTCTTTATAGACAGTTGCACTGTTCCATTTGGGAAAAACAATTAAAATTGCGAATGATAAGGTTCAGGATTTATGCTTTGTATTGCAATTCCCCCTATTCATAAGGAATATGCGATGATTTACTGAACATGTGCAGTGGTTCACCATGGTCCCCGGGACGTGTAGTCCATTCTTTAGTGCTTCACAGGGTATTAATTAAAAAGAAAAGCCATGCAGCTAAACTACAACTCCCCAAAATGCCACGTGCCTTCACGCATGTCCCATGTTGAGGCGGCGTTGCTGGCTGTGATCATGTCTGGTCAAGCCAAGCAGCGCGTTTAGGAGCTTTGCAGGTGTGAAAATCGACTGTCTGTTGGCACTCCTTGCATTTTACTGCACAGCACCAGTGGAACTTGCACTCGCACTTAGTGACTCGCACAACTCGAGTGGTATCATAGCCCCGGCCGCAGCACATCACTTCACAGCCGTCTGTGTCCTTGGATGACTTGTTACACATTCTTCCTGCTGTGCCCAAAGACCCTGGAAGAAAGAGAAAGTGGCACGGTGCAACTGTTAATGGATGGTAAATGCATTGGGGAACACAGTGCATTCCACAATTCTTAGCTCAAACCAATCTCTTTGCGACATTTCAATGCTAGACAGACTTGGAAAGCAAAATGACTTTGGTTGAAGGATAAATATTGGCCAGGTCACTGACAAACTACCCTACTCTTCCTCAAAACAGTGTCCTGAAATTACATCCAACTGAGTGAGAGATAGGGAGAAGCTTTAACTAAACGAGGCACTAAATTACACAGAAACTACTAAAGACACTATTCAGGCCTCAACTGTAATACAGTTTTGGTCCCATTATCCAAGGAATGATATACTGGCATTGGAAGTAGTCCAGAGAAGTTCACTAGGTTGATTCCAGACGTGGGCAGATTTCCTTATAAGGAGATGTTGGATAGACAGGAAATTACAGGCTGGTTAGCCTGACCGCTCATGGTTAAGATATTAGAGTCCAATATTACGGATGACATTGCAGTGTACTTGGAAGTGCATGGTCAAATAAGGCTGAGTCAGCACAGCTTTGTCAAGGGGAGGTCATGCCTTACAAATCCGATAGAAATCTTTGAGGAGGTAATGAGCAAATTAGAGAAAAAAGAGCCAGTGAATGTGATCTATTTGGATTTCCAGAAGGCCTTTGACAAGGTGCCACATAGGAGGCTGCGAAATAAGATAACAGCCCATAGTGTTAGAGACAAGGTACTGGCATGGATAGAGGATTGCCTGACTGGCAGAAGGCAGAGAGTGGGGATAAAGAGGTCTTTTTCAGGATGACTGCCAGTGACTAGTGGAGTTCCTCAGCTGTCTGCCTTTGAGGGGGGTCCACAGGAGGTTTAGAAGAATGGTCCTGAGGATGAAGAGCTTGTCATATGCAGAGCGGTTGAGGACTTTGGACTCGATGGAGTTTAGAAGGATGAGAGAGGATCTGATTGAAACTTACAGAATATTAAGAAACCTGGATAGAGTGGACGTGGAGAAGATGTTTCTACTCATAGGAGAGACTAAGACTTGAGGGCACAGCCTCAGAGTGAAGGGATAACCCTTTAGAACTGAGATATGGAGGAATTTCTTTAGCCAAAGGATGGTGAATCTGTGGAACTCATTGCTGCAGAGGGCTGTAAAGGCAAAGTCATAGAATGTCTTTAAGACAGAGATAGATAGGTTCCTGATTCATAGTGCAATCAACAGTTGCAGGAAGAAGGCAGAAGAATATATGGTTAAATGGTGGAGCAGACTTGATGGGCTAAATGGCTGAATTCTACTCCTATATCTTATGGTATTATGGTACTCATTGGAATAAACAGTAAAGAGATGGGACCTTAGTAAAATATACATGATTGTTAAGGGCTTAACGGGATAGATGTGGAGAGGCTGTTTTCCATTGAGGGAGAGTCTAGGACCAGAGGGCATTATCTCAGGGTAAGGGGTTGCATATTTAAGACAGAAATGAGGAAGAATTTCTTCCCTCAGAGGAGAGTGAATCTGTGGGACTCTTTACCATAGAGGGTTGTTGATGCTGGGTCTTTAAGTGTATTGAAGGCTGAGATAGACAGATTTTTGATCCGTAAGGGAATTGAGGGCTATGGGGAAAAGGCAGGAAAGTGGAGTTGAGGATTATCAGGTCAGCCACTGAATGGTGGAGCAGGATCCTGATTTGTGACTCTCATTTACACTGCAGAAACGACTCGCTGGTGATCAGAAGATCTAGGCTCTTTCAATTTGATGATGTTTCATTAAAAACATTAATTGATGGAGGATGACTGAGTACCCAAACACTTTCTGTACAGTGTCCTGGTCCACCATCCCCCTGCAGTGTCCCTTCATCCACTATAAGGTCACCTACAAATCAGACGTGAAAATGGCACTGGGGGCAGTCACTGATGGCCACGACCTCCAGGCTGACCGATTGGAAGGACACTGGAAGAGGCGAGCAGAAAGGTAAAGCTCAGCTGGCTGAGGACAGGGCCCAGAGAAAACCGAGGCCAGTGAACCAATCACCTCTCAGCACTGCCTCCTTGTGCAGCCAATCCCACTGAGACAACCATGTCAGACTGGGATTCAAGACTCATACCAGACAGACAAACAGGAGGCTGGAAGAACACAGGAGGCCCAGGCAGCATCTGGAGGAAAGCAGCAGTCAACGTTTCGGGTAATACCCTTCTTCAATCCACATAGACTGTCCATGTGGAGTCTGCACATTCTCCCCGTGTCTGCGTGGGTTTCCTCCGGGTGCTCCAATTTCCTCTCCCAGTCCAAAGACGTGCAGGTTAGGGTGGATTGGCCATGCTAAATTGCCCATAGTGTCCAGGGATGTGCACGCTAGGTGGGTTAGCCATGGGGAATGCAGGATTAGGGGGATAGGGTGGGAAGGGAGTGGTGGGTCTGGGTGGGACGCTACTCGGAGTGTGGGTGTGGATTCCAAATGGTCTGCCTCCACATTGTAGGATTCTATGATCAAGATGCAAACCGTTGTTACACAAGATTAATAAAACATCACAGAGGTAACTCTTGGAGAGGACAAGCTGTCCAGGATTGAATTTGATCAATTGTTTTTGTTAACATGCTTCATTTGTTGTAATGTTTTCACTAGGTGCTTCTGAGTAACCGTACATCTTCCATTCTGCATTTTCTGAAGGCTCATTTTCCAAATATCTATCCCGAGCTGAGTACTTTCCTTCTGTGATATAAAGTTTTTTTTTCTGATACTTGGGCAGAGTGGTTGGGTGCAGCTCATTCAAAGCCGACAAAACCTGATATTCTAAAGCTTCCCCAGTGCAGAACTGTCAACAAAATGAGCCTAATATTTGCTTTTGTGCCAGTACATCATAAAGACCAGTGAATCATGAGGGTTAGCGCCAGGTGCAGTGCATTGTACTGGCCAAGTTGGTACATGCAGTTTTAGCAGAAGCCCTTCAAATGCCCTACAATAAAATCAGAGAGTGATGGAGAAACTCAGACCCAAGATCAGACAACACCTGTGGAGAGAAAAACAGAGTTAACTGTTTGAATCCTGTATGACTCTCAGAACTTTGGGATGGCATGGTGGCACAGTGGTTAGCACTGCTGCCTCGCAGCACCAGGGACCTGGGTTTGATCCCACCCTGGGTGACTAACTGTGTGGAGTTTGCACATTCTCCCCATGTTTGTGTGGGTTTCCTCTGGGTGCTCCGGTTTTCTCCCACTGACCAAAGAGGTGCAGGTTAATGGATTGGCCATGCTAAATTGTCCATAGTGTCCAGGGATGTGGAGGTTAGGTGGGTTAGACATGGGAAATACACGGATAGGGTAGAACATGGGTCTGGGAGGGATGCTGTTTGGACGGTCAGTGTTGACTCAATGGGCCAAATGGCCTGCTCCTACTCTGTAGGGTTTCTATGATGATTCTATGAACTGCCCATCAATAATGCTATAATTTTTAATGCTGCAGAAACACTGGTCTGGGAGCGCAGATACACCGGTCTGCGGGTGCAGATACACCGGTCTGGGAGTGCAGTTACACTGGTCTGCAGGTATAGATACACTGGTCTGGGATCGCAGATACACCAGACTGGGAATGCAGATACACTGGTCTGGGAGCGCAGATACACCGGTCTGTGGGTGCAGATACAC